TTCCAAGCCGGAACACAGTAATGCTGACATTACTGCTTGGCGGCAGAAATAGGTAAGGTGGCAGTACTTGCCTGGACGAACTCTTTCACAAGCTTACTGCTACTACTATTATAAGACGCATGATGCTAATGAATCTTCATACTTAACATTGTCTTTTAATTTGCTGGAGTGTTACTTATTTGACAGTAATTGTTTTGCACGAATGTCGGACAGGGTACGACAATTGACTCCCAGATCTGAAATAATAGTTCAAGTTCCAAAACATGTTAATGTAATTGTAAAAATAAGCTAACACATGCTTTTAATAATGGCATAGAAAATGATTGACATGTGTAAAGAATTAATGAGCGCAAGCCTTTAGACACGACAACGCGGTTATTACAAAAAACTATAAAAATGTCTAGAACAAAAGAATACAAGTGAAAAGCGATAAAAGTCAACTTTTCTAAGATATTTAGATGTTGGGGTAATTGCAACTGAGAGGTAATTGGGACTGTTTTAAATTACAAGATTTTTTTTTCAGATACCAAATGACTCGACGAACAAGGCGTGCGCATGTTGGTAAGCGACACGCCTGTCTGAGGGACACTGCGCCTGTAACCTTGAGACATAAGTTGACTATAGAAAACATTAAATAAAATTTTGTTCTAATCTTGTTCCAATTCTATTTAAAAAGATTTCATTTTTAAAATAATATACAAGAAAGGTAAAAAAGACAATAAAACCTTAAATACTAGAAAGTAAAACTTGGATTTTTAAATTATGTGGATAAAATTGGGTCCCCGCGGCAAAGTGCCCAAGATGCTGGCAGCGTTCCCCCTTTGTATTGCTATGCTAATGCTTTGGGCAAGGTAGCTGTCGGCCCCTGGGTTTCACAGACAATATATTAATTTTTTCGATAAAATTTTGTACAGATGAAGGACACTGGGACCCCACGGGCCTAGGGTTTCGACTCCAAAGGCTGTAAATAGGTATTCGGACCCGAGATCCTGGTAGTTATTACTTTTTAATCTTTTCGCCAGCTCAGCTGCGGAGCCAATCTTCCTGCGGCGTTCCACACCAGCCCGGCTCTTACTCCAAGGGATGGGAGTCATTCCTTCCGGGCGTTTGCCATCTGTTCGCGACCTGCCGCTTGGCTCGAATTTAGCGGGCACGTTAACAGTGGCTAAGGCCCGGCAGATGATGTCGTTGAGGGCTGCATGCCGGAGATACGGCCGGCGCTCAGCTACCAGGAAAGACCGTGGGACCCAGATCACTTACGTCTTTGCGCAAGGACACCGATGAGGAGAGCAAACTGGGACACCAAGGCGGAGGCCTGTTGCTATGCGAATGGTTTCTATTTTGTATTACTATTTATGTTTATTATTTTCAAATATTTCGGAGGACTTAAATGTTATGTAGTGGTAGTCCAATGGTATAAACAACCTCTTCGCAATCAGAGCCATGGGTTCGAATTGAGGCTCGCGCTCCTGAATTTCTCGAAATTTGTGCGCGAAATTTGAAATTTACTATTAACTTTGGAGGAGAGCCGCTAGTGAGACATATTGATGATGAAATCCAATGTCATGGAATAAATGAATGAAAAAAAAAACTCCTCTGTTGAAAAGTATATTAAAAAATTATAGTGGCCACTATTGTGATGTATGTAATAAATAAATAAAAATAAAAAGTGTTTATTATTCCTCCACATCGAGTATATAACCTGAAATAGAGACGAAAAAGGACCATCCATCCCTGGCAGCTCATCAGACAAATCGGCCTTATATCATTTTTATATATTAACTCTCGTTTGCGCTGAAATCAAAAACTAGAGAGCTGAAATAGTACAGCGCTAACAACTGACCTGAACTTACTTACTTCTCCGTATATTCCAATAATATTCTGTATTTATTATAATAAAGATAATATTTCTAAAAATGGGGGGCTGTTTAATTCGGCGGTGTAGGAAAAACAGCAAAACATCTAATGACTATAAATAGCAAAGCTCAAGTTAAACTGGTCGATTTGAAGTGAAACAATTGACGACACCCGTCAATTGTTTCGAATTCGGGCTGGCCAATCGGAGCGTAGTTGTCACAGTAATGATTTGGCAGAACAGTTTTCCAACCAAATTAAATGACATTTCGTCTCTACTTCGGGTTATATACTCGATGATATGGGTCATGTAAAGAATCCAAATTACTGGCTTGTTTGATAAAATATATGAAATGAAATATTGTTTATTGCACATAAAATTACAATTAAAATACAATACAATAGCTTAAGTATAATAGTAATAGTAAGTCAATGTGCAACAGGCGTTAAATATATATCTATAAGTATATATAAAATAAATATACTTATAGATTCGAAAAAATAGTTTCGTTTGAACAAAACCTTATTACTCCGCTCTCCACTTGTACCCATCAATTAATTGCTACAATATCACTCTAACTTATTTGTAATTTTGTAGTACGACGAATAAAGGAACTAAAGCCACTTTGAAAAACGTTAAACTAACCATCACTTAGATCTAATAGCTACCAAAGCGGAGCGGAGAAGAGTTTAATCAATCAATAGTATTTCTTTATTTTGACATCTTCACGCCGCATAAAGAAAAAGAAAAACCTATTAGTTGTCGAAATACAGCTCTGAGCTCTGCTAGATAATGGGCCATATTACGGTAACTAGTCGTCTAAGTACTTCATATAAAGAAAACATTAAATTAAATTTTGTTCTAATACTATTTCTATTGTATGTTACTTTTATGTTTATTACCTTCTAATATTTAGGAGGACTTAAATATAATGTCGTGGTAGTCTAATGGTATGAACTACCGCCTCTCAAGCAGAGGCCGTGGGTTCGAATCCCGGCTCGCGCCTCCGAGTTTCTCGGAATTTGTGTGCGAAATATAATTTGAAATTTACCATGAGCTTTTCGGTGAAGAAAAACAGTGATGGAACGGGCACGCCGAAGATGGTTTATAAACCTCGGAGAATGTGAATTCCACAACCTGTCTGAGAGGAGACCCGCGCCCGGCAGTGTGGTGGGACGTATAAATGCATTGATGATGAAATCCAATGTCATGAAATAACAAAAGAAAAAATGTCAGCGATTCCTTCCTATTAAAAAATGATACTGGCCACTATCGTGACGTAGGTATTTGCCGTTAATTCTTTTTTCAAAATTAGTGGCACTCTGTTGTTTACTTTGTACGTGCTAGCCGGTTTCTTTATTGTTTAAAATTAGAGCTACGGTTATTTTATCGAGTATATAACCAGAAATAGTGACGAAATAAGGACCATACATTGGCAACTCATCAGTGATACATCACTTATAAATATCAACTCTCATTTGCACTGAAATTACAAATTAGAAAGCTGAAATAGTACAGCGCCAACAACTGATCTGTGTGTACGTCTCCGTATATTCCAAAAATATTCAGTATTTATTATAATAAAGATAATAAAACTATGAGGGGCAATTTCAATAGGTGGTGTGGGGAAAAACATCAAAACATCTAGTTACAAAACAAACGGAATCAAATTTCATCGGTAATTAAATATTAAGTGTGAAATTTTGAAATTTTCGTCCATTATAGCAAAGTTTAAATTAATTGGTCCATTTGAAGTGAAATAATTGACGACACCCGTCAATTGCTTCGAACTCGGGCTGGCCAATCGGAGCGCAGTTGTCACAGTAATGATTTGGCAGAATAGTTTTCAAACAAATTAAATGATATTTCTTCTCTATTTCTGGTTACATATATACTCGATGGGTTGTTTGCTCTTTCATGTTTCAGATGGCTACAGTAGCCAATTTTATTTATAAATGTCCGCGAATAGTGGCCACACGTAAGGACACCGTCAACATAGCAATAAAGATTTGCCCCCGTGCCTCCATGGCCAAACGGTTACCATGCCGGATTGCCACGTAGAGGTCCCAGGTTCGAGTCTCGGGCCGGGAGAAATGTTTGTATGGCCTATATTTATTTCTCTCGTGAGTTTGGGTGTGATTTGTGGTTCTCTATGTGTGTGTCCATGGCACCCGCGACACAGGGTTTCCCTAGTACGGGGCCATGTTGAGTGTGTGCGTTATTTATTTACTTAAGGTTGGTTGCAGGTGTCTTAGCCTTGAGATCATCACGTTTCGCGTCCAAGTTTGACAGTTATCATGTGTCTTTTTAGAACATACTTGTATCTCAAGAACTGGCCGCCTGGCTTCCGCTTGCAATTCAGGAGTTCGGAAAAGAAGATACGCTTCGCAACTCGCGATTCAGATATGCGCGAGACGTGTTGCATGGACAACATTTCGGAAGAAAAAAGTATTTTTTTAAATAAGCATTTTCTTCTTTTTTCTAACATACTATTGAGTATTTCTAACAAAATGAAATAAGTTCAGGGTTATTGAGATAAAAAGTAGCCATGATCGTCGTTTATTTCATGCTTTACTTTTCAGCCTTCGCTCGTTTGTAACATGGAGCCTTTATTTCATAAAATAGCCATTATTTTTATGGCCATTTTGAATAAACAGTAGATAAATTGTTACAAGAAGACGGTACTTATTAACAGTGAAATATTAAGTTTGTATATTATTAAGAAACGTCTGAATGTATACATTACGACCTTAAATTATTAATATTTGATTACATTGCGTAGACGTTTGCCGTATTTGAAGGTTTTCCTTTCTATAATAGCTAATCAAAGCTTTGTAAAGAAATGAGCTATTGTCAAGTAGAGCCGGGTAATATGAGTAGTGCTCGGCTATTGCCACATGCAGTATCTATTGGAGTGTTAAACAAAGCCTTATTTACTCACAGAACTATTAATGCATACAATCGTGACACTATCTCTCATCATCCTAAATATTTTCATTATATAATTTTCGTAAGAGGCGAAACCTATTCGTATGACAAAAGCCGAGGTAACGAAACGCAAGCGCAAACCGGACCATCCGTTGGGTGCGCGGGCGCAGCGCAACCCGCCGAACGAGTTTCCGCTCTCAGTTATGCGCGAGACGCCGAACGGTGCGCAAGTGTTACCGTGTTCCTTTCTTGAAGTGACAAAATTGAAACGCCGTGCGATACTTTTGTGTTCTATAGATTGTGTAAACTTAACCGAGTTAATAACAGTTTTATTCACAAAACTCTGTGTTTAATCCCCCATTGGATGTGTTCTGAAAACATTAAACAACTTCGTTAAGGTAAGATAAGACCACTAAGTTGAGGAGAGCCCTATTTCAACTAGCAACTCTAGCCGACGAGTTCTTTTCGAAAGGGTTAGGCAGCACATTCTCTCGCGTCGCTCTACCTTCGGAGATTTGTCAACAATTACACAATAGATTTTAAATTTGAATGAAAAGTTATATTTTGCAATGTCTAAATTAGTTTTTTTTACATAATTGATTCAGGTTGGTGGCCTTGTATCGCTTCATAATGGAATGTCATGAATCAAGATTGAAGGAATTGTGAATGTTCCAATAGATATTGACTACTTTAATCTACGGGAACTGGTTTGGTAAGGAGCAGACAATGCCCTTGTAATTTCTTTGCCGGACAACCCCATTGTGTCATTTAAGATCACCATACTATGCTTTAAAAAAAACTATCAAAAAGGTTTCTTACTTAATTCGACTTTACACACGTCAACTCTATTTTTCTTGATACGATTTACGGCCTTTGGTGTTAGTTGAAACAAATGTCTTGTTTTAAACCACTTTATATATATAAATCAACTTACGTAATATATTTAACAAAAGCAGTCTTGGTCGTTGCCCCACTGAGTTTCATTCTTTTGATTATTTAAGAGAAAAAGTGTCTGCCTAATTAAATATTAATTTAGACTTTTACTTTTGTAATAATAATATGCCTAATAGCCACATTACCTGGTCTTAAAATGGGATATTCCCTATAATACCTGGACCACGCAGACCCAGAACCTATTTACAAAAGTTTTAATAGCAGTAGAGCTCCTTATGAACGAGTTCGTCCAGGGAAGTACTGCCACCTTATCTATTTCTGCCGCCAGGGAGTAATGTCAGCACTATTCTGTTCCGGTTTTGAAGGGTAAGGAAGCTGATCAAAATACAGGCACACGTACCTTGTTAATTCATGTCTCAGGGTGACGGGCGCAGTGGCAGTGCCCCTCAGATCTTTGCCATTTAAAGCTCTGAGTAGCACTGCAACTGGACAGGCGTGTCGCGTAACACCAGGAGCACGACTTGTTGGTCTCGTCACTTCGTCATAAAAAAACCGTACCAATTTGATTGTGTTATGTCGTAAATTGCAACTTATTATAATTAATTAGGTACACAAATACGCGTTTAGAAGTTTTGAGGATTATTTAAAAGAAATTAAAAAAGAATCCTCAAAACTTTCACTGCTATAATGGGAAAACAACTAAACTACTAATGTATATTAATGTAATTAGTTACATGCTTCTGGCTCAAGCAAATAGACCCTCAGTTTTTAAAACGCAACCGAGATTTTTTTGTTTATCTAGATACCTTATATAGAATGTTTAGTGTTAAATTTGAATGATATATTTTCATAATAGTGTACAATGGCCGTTTATGTAATCGTAGGCATAATTATGTGAGTCTGAATCACTTCTCATATTAAGAACATTTTGATGCACACGGGGGCTTAGGAGGTTATACCCAGTTATTTTAAGTAACTGCAGACAAATATAAAAATTGAACTATAATTTTGAAAACAATGGTTAAAAACGATGGTACGGTGAAGAATAATACGGTGTAGGTCGCCAATAAGAGGATTTCGTCATAGCTCTACACGAATAAATATAAGTAATGATTTTTATAGATCAAACCCTCAATGAGATAATAATAATAATAATAATAATAAAGGGCTGTAAAAAGGACGTATCTTTTTTTTGTAATTTTTGAGTTTAATGAAAAGAAATTAAATGAAACAATTTCATTTCGGACAATAGGCACAGTTACATGTCCATATGGTGTTAGTAGGTACTTGACAACTATGTTAGTAGAAAGCAAATTGTTCATTTGCATGAACAAGGATGGGCATCCAATACTTAAGGATTGGGCTGTCCATCCTCTCTGCTACCATCTTAAGAAGACTGTTGGTGCTGCATCTCACTCTGGCTAACAGGGATGCCACTCTCTTCCGAACGACTGCCTGAAAACTATCAATTTTAGCCTCTATATAATTGAATTAATTAATTTTAATTAATAATATTTAAATAGATACATTTAACTTACGTTGTTTTTCTACCTACATTACTTAGATACTAAAGAATTATGTCCAGTCGTTATAATTACACTTTGCAAAATAAGCCATATCTGTTAAAAACTAATAAATTTCTTTTGCCTTGATAACATCTTAGAAATTATATAAAAGTCGCTGGACTTAATTTTTTAGCTCTCACAACTTAATTATTTTACACGTGACGTTTTTGATGTTGTATCTTTTTAGCCATTTGGAAGACAAGCAATTAAGATAAGGATTTAAACTGAGTACTCTGCGAATATTTTTACTTAATATGCGAACGGTGGTTGTTTAGTGGGCGAAAGGCTGCTTGTCAATTAAAAGGTCTACCTTTCGAGGCCCTGTAACGCCAGATACAGACGACTTTAATTTCTAAAATGTATTTCGCTAACGGTGAAAGAAAGCGGCGTGATGAAATTTGCACGTCGAAGAAGGTTCACAACCCTCTCGCAAATGTTGACCTAAACCCACTCCTTATAGGGTATCGGTGCCTTGCAGTGGCATGTATTAACGCGGTAATGATATTCTTCTTCTCCTTTTTATCCTGTCAATGGCATACACTGTAATGCTTGCTATTGTGTGGAAAGGATTTGGCAATGGGCATAAGTTACTCGCCGATTTCTTTTTTATGGTTCTAAGTTACGGGATGATCAAGTTGTGGGTCTGGTTGTAAGCGACACATCTGTCCGTAACACAAAGATCTGAGGAGCACTGCCGCTGCGCCCGTCACCCTGAGACATAAGTTGACAAGTCCCATGTGCCTGTAATTTCACCAGCACCCTTACCCTTCAAAATCGGAACCGGTGGCAGTACTTCCCAGGACGAACACTTTCACAAAGAGCTCTACTGCTACTTAAGTCATCGTCACTTTCCATCGATGTTCAAAGCTCTACTAATTCTGAGTCACATATAAGGCTCTTGACATGCTTTTCAATCCATGGTAGCTAGTTGATATCCAGCAGAACCGTCCGAAAGGCACAGGCAAAGCAGCATTCCCTTCCTTTCTACAAGAATTTTGATTACAGTGGCCTTCCCTACCGACCCTTAGAGTATCTTCTGACCCCAGATCAGCCAGTGAACAGGGTTGTCACAGACCGTTGTCACTGACTTCATCTGGTTCTCAACAGGCCTCAGCTGAACCGCCCTGGGTGCACATGTAGTATTCTCCCTATTTTCCAGATACGGACTGGAGCTGTAGGCACGCTTACTTCTAATGGTTGCGTAGGTGGGTAGCAGTACTCCTTGTACGACCGGACTTATGGTTGGTACAGCTGGAGCATCTGTTGCGGTGTGAAGTAACACCTCACCTTGGAAAGAATGTCAAGTTTCCTGGTTGCGTTTTAAAGCAAGAAAATATCTTCGACTAATTTTGTTCGAATCTTTAAACGTCTATCCTGTAAAGTTGTCATTTTGCAGATGTGGCCTTATTAAACCAATGATGCGAGTTATTTCGCATCCCTCATGGAAGTATAAGTGGAGTTACGTCAAACATGTTTACTGCTCCATTATATACAGAAAAATATAACCTACATCCTCTCCAATTCTTGTAACTCCATGTACAATATTAGTCGATAGAGTTACAAGAATTGTAGAGGATGTGGGTGGGTTATATTTTTCTGTATCTTTTCTTTATCTTTATCTTTAATGGAGCAATAAACGTTTTTGATGTAAGTAATCCCACTTATGCCATTCTTTCATGAGCGATGCGATTTGTCAACACAATAATCGTAAGAACATTATCGTCTTTGCCCTCAAGGTTTGCAGGTCTAACATGTAGTACAAGAAATGGCTTAAAAATAATAATCATGCTACCAGTAGTAGAGTGCATTTTTCTCAAACCAAGCTAGCACGACTGGTAGAGCAAGTTACTGGTAACTTGAAGTTACGTTTTGTCCGTTGCGTGTTGGAGCTTCGTTTATTGCACGGCAATCAAAACTATGATGTCATTTTGTTAACGATGCGACTTCATCATGGTTTTAATTTGTTAATTAAGGATCACGTTATGTTTTAAGTTGGGCTTATGTTTTAGTTACTAGTTCAGGAGCGTCATATGCGCTCGGTTGTTATAAGAGCTTTATTTGGTTATGGCTTTATAACAAAGCATTAATATACAACGCCCATATGACGAATACGTGTTAAAATTGTGGCGATTGTCTTTAGCGTTCAATAATAGTTGAGTGTTTATATTCTAAAATATTTGTTAAAACCAGAATTCGAAGTGACTAATTATTTCTTTGAGTTACTATTATAAAGGAGGCTTGTTCAAGTGTTGGTCACCATTGCATTACTGCAACTAGCAATCCATTGTGACCACTTATACTAGCAATCCATAGGGATGAACAAGTCGTGCGCCTGGTGCTAAGCGACACACCTATCCATAACAATTGCAGTGTCACTCAGACCTCTAAATCGTATAGATCTTAACGGCACTGTTTTATCTGGTCTGTGGGACACTACCACTGCCCGCCACTCTGAAACACAAGCTGAGATGTGCTATGTGCTCGTAATTTCACCAGCGCCCTTATCCTCCCAAACCGGAACACAGTAATGCTCACATTACTGCTTGGCAGCAGAAATAGGTAAGGTTACGGACAGTATTTTCCTGGACCAACTCTTTCACAGGGAGCTCTACTGTTACTAAATTGAAGAACAGGAGGATTGCTTTGGAGATAAAGAGATGTCACTGTTTCATGACAAAATCTAGAGTTTTTGCTCTCGCTCAGTTAAAGGATGGATATTATTCTTTTAAATCGCAGTGTGCGATATAAGAACCTTCGGACGCTATTTCTCTACAATGCCTGAGTTTCTCCACAATGTTTAGTATTGCAGACCTCCTTGTGAGACAGGAAAGTAAATTTCGTATACAGAAGAAGCCTACAGGGTTTTTAAGTGTTCATGCCTTGTACCCAGAGATCTCAGGAGGCATTGATGCATTGGTTCTGCTAAAAATCGGCTAAGC